GAAGATGAAGATGAAGATGAAGATGAAGATGAAGATGAAGATGAAGATGAAGATGAAGATGAAGATGAAGATGAAGATGAAGATGAAGATGAAGATGAAGATGAAGATGAAGATGAAGATGAAGATGAAGATGAAGATAAACGTAAACATAAACATAAAGATAAAGACAGATAAAGTTAAAAATAAAGATAAAGATGAACATAAAAATAAAAACAAAGATAGGAATAAAGTACTGATGAAGTAAAGATGAAAATAAAGAGAAGTAAGGATAGAGAAAAAGATAAAGACAAATATATGTAAGTATAAAGACCAAGCCAAAATGAAGGAGAAAACATCATGATTAATATTTGCAAATTTTGCGCAACAAAAAAGGAACTAGAAACAAATCGAGAGAAGTTTCACTGCCATCGTTTAGCCAAAGCGCATTATGTATTGTTTTCTGAATTCCTTTCAATTACAGAGTCCCACTTACGGCATTGCGGTGAGCACACTGCCAACCATGCACAAGCCAGTTAAGAGTGTCGCACCCATCACACAGCAGCCACAGGCAAGTCGCGAGCCCAAGACGACCACACTCACGGTGCCATCGAAGCTCCCAACACCTTCCATTGCGGTCACGCCGAGTTTGTCGGTGACCAAGGAAATCTCACCTAAGAAATCGCCTGGCACCAGCAAACGCATCGTACAGGAACTACCACCCTCAGCAGCACGCGATGGGCGACGCAGCTCTGATGTGCAGTCGACGCGTGCCATCACAAACGCAGACGTCAAATTTACAAATAACCACACCGATGTCTCAGAGTGCAGCACAAATACAGATGAATATGCCACTTGCACCGATACATCGAAGCGCACGCCAGGTATTAAGACACCACCAACAACAACAACAAGCTCATCATCGACAACACAAGTACCAGGTTTGGTGGCGCAAAGTGTCTACAAAAATACATAGAACACCCAAAAAACAGTCAATCAATAGATTAGTGTGCCTTGCTGCTTAAGCTCCACAAAATGAAAAAAAAAACGAGCAATCATCCAGCTAAGCATCCAACCAGTTGTCGTGTCAAAAACCCAACACAGCTCAGTAACCTTAGCCATCCACTAGCAACAGCCAACCATCCATCCTTCATCAACAAATCAGCATCCGAAAAACTAGCTACCTAGTCATTATCCATCCATCTTTCGTTGGCTGTCAATTCATCATTAAAAGATTACATAAATAACCAATCCACACATAATCCTCTGACTCATTTGTACCCGCTTATATGTGTATGCACTTAGCGACACACACAGTTTTTGTTGCACACACTCACACACAAACACGCAAGCAAGCGGTTAGGCTTTTTAGCTGTATTCGCCTTTCCTTTCAACACTCACGCTTCCTTCTGTATCATACTAGAACATATTTTTGTGTGTGTTTTGTTGTGTCCGTCCTTAGCTGATAACGTGTATGCTATTAAAGTATTTTCATATGGTATTTGTTGTTGTTGCTTGATGAACGCTTCTGTACAAAAAAAAAATAAAATACCTACCTACACTCATATGACTGTGTAATGCTTCTTAGCTCAGCTTAGTTCAACGCTCGCTTATAGTGTAGCCTAGCGCAGTTGTCGGCGATTTTAATCTTCATATATTTTTTCCCTTTTCCCCTCTCTTTTCTCCTACAGTTTCTACACAAAGTTCACAAATCGACCGCACCCAAGGTTCATCCTTCGAGAGTGCCTCATCGCTCTACTCTACGCGCGGCGAAATACTCTCAGAGGATATGCTACAGCACGATGAAAAGCCCACTAAGCCGCACAAGGTCGAACGTGACATGCAGCTGAAGTCTCCTCTGCCCACGGCTGAGCTGACTAAGCGTTCACCTTCGCATTCCATCAGCAGCACTTCCTCGGGCAGCTACAATGTTGCTGGGCTCGCGACACTTTCACCCTCGGCAAAGGATGCTGAGAAGCGTCTAGAATTAGCTGAAAAATCGCTCAGCAAGTCGCCAACAACCATAGGCGTTCTGCAACTCTCATCGAATGAGCCAACAGCCACCATAAGTGGCGAGAAGCCACGCATCAAACCCGAGTCCATATCGGAGGATGAACGCAGTGAAGTGCGCTACTCGTCCTCCGGCTACTACGAGAGTCCGCACGACGACGAACATGTGATAAAGTCACGTCGTCATCGAGTCGATGAGGAGCGCAAGCGCCGCAAGACCACTATGAAACTGGACATTGAAAAAGAGAATTTACGCGCGCTTACCAGCCCAATCAAGAAACCGGCAGCTGCAGCAGCCGGCGCGCATACCACACCTACAGCCGGCACAAAGGATAAGCTGCCGTCCGAAAGGCAATCCACCACCAGCGGCACACCGCACGCTATTGTCGATGCTGCAAGTCCGAATCGCATTAAACGTTTCCGTCCGAAGATACGTCGTCAATTGCGGCGGAGTTCGCGTGATGATAGCACGCCCAAACGACAAAAGAATCTAGCCAATTTGTACGGTATACCACCATCAGCGGGTAGCACCGAAAAGTTGCTAGACTATAGCGTTAAGCTTAAAAAGGAAGAGTGCGAGGAGTTGCCAATTGTCGAGTGTAAGACGAGTAAGATTATCACATCGCCCACAACAACGAAAACCACCAAATCGTCCTCGGAAGTGTGTCAATTGAAGGCAAAGTCTATTGAGTCATTGCGTTCTGTCTCGCCTGGTTCCGATTCGGTGTTCTACAGCGAGGCAGATGGTCCAACGCAGGAACCGCATGCACATTGTTTGCACTGCGGCAAGGGTACGGAGGGTCAGACGACGGTTATAAGCGCTTTAGCAGGCGACTCAGTCGAATCGCTGCCATATATTGAGAACGAGCATGAACAGGATATTGTTAAGCCTCCTTCAGATTTTGCAGACTCTCCGGTCACCGCGAAAACTACGCAGCGGCTCTACAAGAAAATGGATAAACGTTTTCGTTCGGAAGAACGCTATCATGGCGGCGAACGGGGGCGTCACTACAAGACGCGTCAGGAGAATATACGCGCAAAGGTAATCGCTTGACGTATATATTAATACTTATGTTACAATCAAAATTCTCACATTTCAGAGTGAGGAACGCAGTCGTGAAAGCGTGCACTCGCGCAGCCCGCAGAGTTTACGTCCAGCGGGCTCCAGTCCATGTGTGCTGCCCGACGCTGCGGTTGAGCAGAGCCAGCAAATCATCTATCGCGGTAGCTACGATCCGGCGCGTTATTCGCGTCTCACCGACGCAGATGTTTGGACGCAGCTGAATCATCAGAGTTTTGGTATAAACTGCTGGTGGATTCTCGAAGCGTTTGCAATATTCTAAATCGTTTCTTTTCTTTTTTTTCGCCATCCGCAGATCGTCATCGCGATCGCCGTCCGTCAACTGAGTCTGAGCGCAGTTTTCACTCCAAATACCAGGTCATACTTCATCGTCTGGTCCAACGGCGTTGCACTTTGGAAATGTATCACCGCCAGCGGAATAATAATTTTCGTAAGTTTAAACAAATGTTTTTTTTTTGTGTATTAAAAGTGTGTGCAAAGTACCCCTTGGAATGTCCTGCAATTAAATGCCGAAAAATCATAACTCGAGGAATTCGAATAACGCGTCATTATAAAAAAATGTTTATGAAGATATTTGTGTATTCACAAACCTAAAATTTTCTTAAATTTTGAAAGTCAAAGGTAGATTCACATAAGCTTGTTTTTGATGTTTAAAGATCTTATCTCTCGGTATGAGTAAAAAAACCCGGTATAAATGAAAATTTTTTGGGCTAGTTTTGGACCATTTCGGGAATCATTTCGGGACCGTTTCGGGACCATTTCTGGACTAGTTTGGGAGCATTTCCGCAGTACTTTGGGATCAATTCCGAACCTTTTCGGGACTAGTTAGTACACGACTATTTGCGGACCATTTTGAGACTAGTGCAAAACTGTTTCGGAACTACTTGGAGATCATTTTGGGACTATTTTAGGGTCATATTTATAAGTTTAATAATATGTATGACATTTAGTTGACTTCTATTTCTAAGACAACAGGGTTTTAACAAGACTTCGTCGAATCGACGATCATTAGTACTAACGTGCGTAAAATAAGGTTAGTACTCTAGGGTTAGATTTTTAGAGATTTTGTGGTGCGGGCCCCTGGGCTGGCGCCTATGTAGCCTGTACTTAAATTCGGCCCGACTTTCTCATCTTCATTTCCAATGCTAATGTCAGTGTCCATCGGTATTTTAATCCATGAAACCTCGAGTTGTACCATTAACCGTTTAACCATAATTGTTTGACTTTGAGCACTAATAAGCAGGGAATGGATTTTGAGGACCTAAAAACCTATAAAAAAATGCAAAATAAAATAGCGAAATAGGCAGGAAAAGGCACTTGAAATCGCAAAAAAGGCAAAAGAAGGCACTAAAAAGACAAAAACCGAAAAATAATCAAAAAATACATTTATTTTAGAAATGTTTATTTTACAAGTAAAAAGAAAAACTTTGAACTAGTTTCATTATATGAAAAATTTCTACTTTGAATCTTTGAATATTTTCTCCTTTCGAGTTTTTAACTCACAAAACTTTAATCTCTATAGTTGTAGTAACATTGAACCATTAAGCAAATTTTTTAAGAACTGCGTTATGTCTTAAAGAAATTTGACACAAGAAAATTTTTAGCAATTTCCTGTACGACATTTTACATGGAATTTTTGCTTTTCTGGAGAGCTTGAGCATACTGGCCTTTAAGGTAGAAAAGGCAAAAAAAGGCAACATCAAATGTGTATATATATGGAATCAGGGAAAGCTAAATCGTGGACATTCTTAATCGAATATACTCTATCTCTTTAGCAGAAAAAAAGGCAATTTCCATAAAATCCGTTCCCTGGTAATAAGTAAATAAATAAATAAAGCAAGTGGGTGTCTCTGCTTAATTCGAAAGAAGGGGGTATTTCGAAAAGATTGTAGAGAAACAAGCAGCGATCCAATTAGACAATATTTGTTGGTTCAGTTGAAAGATCTGATTTGTTTTCTATTTTTACTTAATTTGCATATAATCTCAAATCTGGTATACTACACTTGTTACTCGTAGATAAAGCATTCGCTCCGAATTTTTTTGTATATAAAGATGCTTCGGATTTTTATTGTTTCGACATTGATGAGTATGTACTACGCTTTGATGTTTTGCAACATTGCAGCAATCAACTAGAAACATACACACTTACATAGTATAGACTTCTACATAAAATGTATGTATAAATGGACTATCTGCAAAAGAATATCTAATTTTGGAACGACGTGCATACGAAACACTGAGTGATGGTGAGCGAGCGCCAGCTAAGAGTCATCAACAAGACCCAAAAGCAAAAACAACTCTGCGTATGAAAATTGCGTGACTAGGGTTTTGAAATTCGAAAGTAAAAATGTTCGAATGGGGATACATGTGCGTACTTCATTAGTACCGGGCAGCGGCTGCTTTTGGCAACAACGTGTTGATCGTATGTGCGTACGAATTTTTTTTATTTGCTTGCGTTTTGCAGAGTTTATTTTTTTATTGTAGACAAATGTAATTGGTTTTGTTGTTGCTAATGTGTCTGCCGGCATTGTATCTATTGTATTTTAGGGCTTCACATTTATGGTACGCGTGGTTTAAAAATAGTCGATTAGATTAATTAGCGCGCGCGTTAGATAGCGAGGTGCGCGCTCATTACGTTGTCCCCAGCGTGCGAGTATTTATACGCAACAATCGGTCGAGTGGTCGAGCGGTCAGTGGTTCATTGACAAAGGCGTGCAAAAGTAAATGTGAAAATGTGAACTTATTTCGTTCAATAAAATCGAGTGTAACAAATTGTGTAGATAAAGAATTTAGAATAAAATCAATGAAAATCCAGGAACATTTTGTGTTAAACAAAATTAAATTCAAAACAAATTTAAAACGGAACATCTAAAAGTATTTAATTAAACCATCAAATGGCATCAAAAAATATATAAAAAAAGTCAATAAGAAAACTTTAAAAATTATCATAAATAAATAAAATATATTTAAAGAATTGCTATAAAATAACAATTTATATATCTAACTGAAACTTGGAATATTAAAGCAATAAAAATCAATTTGATACGGAGCTCTTTTAAACATCTCTTTAAATAAAGCTTAACTCAAACGAAAGTGAACGAAAAATTTTGCAATTTTATTTTAGTGGCCTTAATTAAAGCACTATTGTTAAATAGAAAGTGTCTGCCCAAATTCTTTAAAAAATTTTAAAATAATTTGAATAAACTTTTTTCTTGCATGTAACATAAGTATTAACCCGTAAAAGATTTTACGTTCAATTTTTTCAATAAAACCGCCGATTTTAAGTTTATACTAGGAGAAAAAAGAAAAAAATCTATAACAAGTTTTTAAAGAGAAATTAGATGTGGGCCATTCCATTGTGACTGGTCGGACATTTTACTTCATAATGTGTTCAATTGTGAATTATAACTTTGTCGTGGGAACTTATACAACAGCGAAATATATATATTTTTTTAATTAGAACGATAACTAATGCTCTAGTTCTATGTAACTACCATTTGAATGAATGTCACTGATGGGACACTGAAAATAACTCTATTTTACCTTTGTGCACTCAAAGATGAATTTCAGCAAAAACACTTAATTTTCACAAAGATGTTTTTGTGTTGTTAATTATGAACTATACTCTTTCGGTTTCAATAAAAATTATGCTTATATAATCTTCATAGAAATATTAAAAAAACTTGCTTTGTGACTGGTGGGACATGTCCTTGTGACTAGTGTAAAAGTTTCCACAACTTATTTTTATTTTTATTTTTTTTAATATTTTGCAATGAATTGTAGTCATTTAAAATGAGGTTACAACTGGAATAAAGATAATTAGAGAATTTAATAATTTATGTCGTTTCGCTCTTTTACATGGAATGACCCATATGCATCCCACCAAAATTTGTATTTATCAAAAATACTGACCACGATTTCTGAGTAAATCGAAGCTTGGTGACAAAAAAAGGCCGTTTTCTCAAGTTGCTTTTAAACTTTATCTGCCAGTTAAACCTATTTTTTAAAAGTATTTAAGAAAACGGCCCTAAGTGAACAAGTTTAATAAGGAAACCTTTAAAAATAATTTTGAATGAAAAAAATCTACAAAAAAAAAATTTAAATGTTAAGCGTATTTTCTCAGGTATCAGTAAATAACAAAAAAAAAACTGTTCTAATGTTAAAAATGACCTTCCACTGAAAATTGTTTTGATAAAAAAAATGTTTTAAATATATTTTTCGTTTCTTACGACCATGGAAAGCAAGAACAGCAATAAATATGTGTTTAAAACTTTTTACAAATTTAATGGGTTTTCTGGTCAAACACCGAAAAAATGTTAAGCGTTTTTTAAGGTCATTTTAAAGGTCAAAATAATACTTTTCTGAATTTTCTATCACCTAAGCTTTAAAATACTTCTTCTTGTTCTTCAGATATGCACGTACATACGTTAGGGCGGAGTAATTTGTTCGCAGAAAAATTGTCGAAGAAAGTTTATAGCAAATTAAAATTCTACGAATAATTCTAAGCAAAAATGGCGAACAAATTATATACCAAAAATGACGTTTGACCCTCCCAATTTTCAAAAGATAAAGCAGTATTTTGTGACTTGCTTGGTGGAAAGTTATTTTTTATTTTCCAAAAAAATTTTCTCGGTTTTGTGAAGTACTAGTTTCTTAAATATGAAGAAAGCACAAAATTTTATAAATGAAAAATTAATTTCGTTTGGAAAATATTATAATACACTTGTCATTGACTTTAGCTTGCGTGGCCCAAGCCCAGCGCGCACTACCCATTGCTTTCGAAGAGAAAATATACTCATAATTTATTTTCCAGATGTTTATTATAAAAATTGATTCTTTATAAGAGTTATATGAAAAGTTTAAATAAACTCGAATACAAATTGTATTCCCAAAAAAGTTCTAAAACAAAACAGAACATAATCAAAATCAACAATGAGCATCAATAAATAAAATTAATTTATACAATTTCTTATAAACCAAAAGTTTAATAAAAATTTCGAGCAAAAAAATGTTTTTTAAAAAATGTATAACTAAATTTTGAATAGATAAAAAATTATAAAAATAAAGTTACTGGAACAATATTTATTATTATATATCATCAAGGGAAAACAATAATTAAAGAGAGATTCCGAGATTAAAATTCAAAAAAAGAAAAAACTCAAAAAAAGTTACGTATCAAAAATTTTTATTACACAAAATATTTAATTGTTTTTTTTTCACAACATTTTTCATTAAAAAAAACGGCCGCAAGCTCAATAAAAATTATTGAACATTAAACATAATTTAAATAAATAAATAAAAAACGCGTGAAAAAGTAGACAAAAACTTAAAAAATCGCCACAAGAAAAATTCAGCACAATGATCGGTAGGCCGAAATTTCATTTAAAATTCTTTACTTTTTCCTCGATTTGTGAAGCGTAACCTTTTTCTGCAGAACTAATCACCTCCAATTCTGCAACGGATTCGCTGCGACGCAAGCTGGAGGATGTGCTGAAATTGATGCTCTTGGTCTGGGCGCGCGAGTCGCATGTGATTGCCAAGACATCAGCCGGCAAAAGGGGTACTTTTTCAACTAAGGAATCATAAGCCATACAAGCACACATAAACATAATCAAACAACCCAGCACTAAAGTACCGAAAACTAACGATACTTTTCTTTCGTTTTCCTACTTTTCTCTCGCTCTCTCTCTCTCGCTCTCTCTCCCACTTTTGCTTTCACTCAGGCGTCGACAAGACAATTGTGGTAAAGAGTGAATCCGGCGAGTTTGGTTTCCGCATACATGGCTCCAAGCCGGTCGTCGTCGCTGCCATTGAACCAGAAACACCCGCCGAAAGTTCCGGGCTTGAAGTGGGTGACATAATTATCTCCGTAAATGGCGTCGAAGTGTTGGACAAGCACCACACCGAAGTGGTGAAGATAGCGCACGATGGCTGCGAGATACTCGAGCTAGAGGTGGCGCGCACCATTGGCGTACTCATGCACGAGCAGCAAGAGCCACCGTGTCAGCCGATCTACAGCGGTTATTTATGGCGGCAAAGTGGTCAGGCGAAAGGGGCGCCAAATACAAAGAAATGGGTACGTCGTTGGTTCTCGTTGCGACCGGACAATTGCCTCTACTACTACAAAACGGAGGAGGTAAATAAGTGTTTGATGGAATACAGAACTATTGTACGAATTTGTTTTCCTTCTTTCTTCTCCATTCGATTACCGCAGGACTCCCAACCCGTTGGCGCTATGATTATGGCCAAGCATACGGTTGATCACTGTCCACCGGAGGTCGGCAAGCCGTACGCCTTCAAAATCGATTCCGGCGAAGGCATACCGCTGTATGTGGCTGCCGATTCAGAAGAATTGTCCAACCGTTGGATTAAGTTGCTCAAGCAAGCGGCCACACAGGGCACACCCTGGCTGGATAATTGGTAGCTAAGCAATTGCTTTTGTCCTTTTTTTTTGCTTTGGAAAATACCAAGAAACCTTAATCTTAGTTTTTTTTGTAATAAAAAAAAAATTTCAATGTTTTTTGTTCACTTCTTTCTTTACTTTCTTCATCTCTGCACAGCGCACACAATCTCTACCAACCGCCGTGCAGCATTACACGACCGGACTGTTTTGGTTACCTGCTGAAGTTGGGCTCCCGCTGGTGCGGCTGGTCGAAGCGCTACTGTGTGCTGAAGGATGCCTGTTTGTATTTCTACCAGGATGCGAATAGTAAAACGGCATTTGGTGAGTGCGTCGTTAGTTGGCGTTAACACATAGTATTTGTACTTTTGTTGAAAAGTATTTTCATGTTTACATCACTTCGTAAATTTTTGTTTGTTTTCCCTTCTTTGCTTGTTTGCTATTCTACGCCAAAATAAATGCTTATCGTTTTCTCTTACACTCTTTCCTTAATTTTGATTTGTCTCTTCAACACTAGGTATGGCTTGCTTGCATGGCTATAAGGTGTCGTCGATGTCGACCAACGCTTCAGGCAAAAAGAATTCATTTGAGATTATTCCACCTGAAACAAAATTGCGCCACTACTACTTTTGCACCGAATCGGAAATGGATAAAAAGAGGTGAGTTTCAGTGTTGAGCTGTAGTATAGAGAGTTTAAAAAACTGACGCAACAGCTAACATTGTCAGGAATTTAATCAAAGTAGACAACTTTCTTCGTTATCGGCATCATTAAAGTGTAAACAGAATCGAATCGCTGAGCGAACTTCATCGGAGGAAAGTTCGCTGCCAAAATTAAAACAAACTGCGGTATTCGAGATTGCACAGAACCAAAGCGGCAACGAATTCGTCTGAGGAATTGCGTCGAGTATAGATTTATTTGTAATTTTGCCGCTGCCGCTGGAAAATACCTGTGTTTCTTCACTTTTCTAGCAGATAATTATCAGGAATAGGCAGAATGGGAAAATTTGCAGATACATTTTTTTTGCTTTTCTATTTTTATATTCTTTATTTGTCATTCAAAAGATGGGTATTTCGTTGCCGCGAATATCACCCAACGGCATCGCTCCGTCCGACGAAATTCGTTCCGCGATTTGATTCTCTTTACACTTTTACCCTTACGTATGTACAGGAGGGTGGCCCAAAAAGTAAAGTCGGAATTTTTATGCTTTCACCCCATAGGATTGTTCTATACCGAAAAAAATTATACCCCTGTCCTTTTATTTTGAGATCAAAAAATATTTAGAGGTTGACCAAAGC